CGAGATTAACGGCCGTGTGGATCCTTTGCGCTGACCACGCGACACACTCTATCCGCTAAAGTTGGCACTAACACGCCAACAAGCGGCGGTCACTCGGTCGGTATATTTCGCTTGCGGGCTACATGCCATGGAGTTTGTTTTTTTGTTTGTGGAATGTAATATAAAACAAGAATAAGTTACTTAATTCTAAACAAAACTGCATTATATTATTCAAAATCTTACACCTTTTTTTTAATTTGAATATCAGCTTATGTAAAGAAAGATAATAAGTTACATTATTTATTTGCAATTTCTTTCACGACCCTGACACTAACTGTGAAATACAGAGTCGAATGATCTGATAAGGGATAATGCATTGGAAAGGAGGTCAAGGAAACGGCGGTGGGCCAAATAATTCTACTATCTCGACACTTCCCTGGAGGGAATTGGGGAAAATGAAAATCCTTAGCTGTGGTTCGCGTGTCGGCCGAGATGCCTCGGGTCTGAGCACCTCCCCAAGTCAGAAGTTACCACTTGAATGCAATTCCTCGGTATGGCAATCCATCAAACTGCCCGCAGACTTAATAACGGGCACTCTGTAATATAAATGACAGGAAGGAATTCCAGTTCTTCTTCTACTCCTGAATAATGAAAAGTTGCTGTTCCTTTCGTCTATTTTCTGTTACAGGAATATTCATGCATGCCGACAAACAGAGTTACCGAGAACAATTTCTGATATTGCAATGCGACTAATTGCTTTCCAGGTGTTTTACACTACGTGCTACAAAGTAAAGTTACTTAGAATATTTTACTGGTTACACTGTTAATAAAATAACTATGATTAATTTTGGTCGCTATTTATTGAGGCCGCAAACATTTTTACTGAGAATGTTAACACAATCACACGAATTTCACATTCCATGTTAAAATGATCCATATAAATTATTTCTAAATAATTCGCGCTGCATCGATTTTATCTTCTTTGTACCTAAACAAAATGGCAACCTGGAGCTTAGAAAGCATACCCCGATAATCATACAATTATTTATAAATTTGTGGTACACCGAAATTTGTAATTCAGTTATATCTTGTTATTTTCAATTTACCTAAAAAAATAAATCAACCCGAACAAAAAATTAGTTGATCCTGCAACGTTACAATGTTTCGTAAGCCTGTGGTATACTGAAATAATTCGCGTTGCTTCCATTTTGTTATTGCCATGTGCCTAAACAAAATGGCAACCTGGAGCACAGGCAGGGCGCTCCAGGAAGCGGTGTTAAGAGACGTGCTTGTTAACTGCACGATGGACTGGAGCGAAATACGAGCTCGTGATGTGAGTGCCAGAGAGGAAATACAATGAGATAAACAAAAAGGCAATGCTTTTACCTCAACGGTTTCCATATTGGGATATAGGTCATATTACTCTGCAGAAGTACAACGCAACATGACACAATGCGAATGCTATATTACGGACAGAAAGAAGAGTTACAATAACAAAGAACATGAAATTACTCAAACATCGCGAAACTGAAAAAAGTCGCATTAATTAACATCACATCCCTGTTTTATGAAAAGTTAAAAAAAGGGGTTACAACTTAGAAAAGGCCAATTTATGTTCTCTTTGAAAATGTAAACGAAAACAAAAAATCTACTCAGCACATTAAATATATTTCAAATCTAAATAACGTTTGAAATACGAAAACTAAAATACATACAGCCAGGCTGACTCGGCCATTTGGCCTTCTAATTAATATCTCTAACCGACTGTGTAACCATAAACTTTAATTGACGCAAGTAAAGAGGTTGGTCTAGAAGTAAACACAGAGAAATCTAAGTATATGTTACTGTCTCGTCACCAAAATGCAGGGCAAAATCATGACATAAAGATAGGAAACAAATATTTTGAAAATGTGGTACAGTTCAGATATTTGGGAACAACGATAACAGATCGAAACCTGATTCAGGAGCAAATTAAGAGGCGATTGAACTCAGGTAATGCTTGCTACCATTCAGTCCAGAACCTTTTGTCTTCTCGTCTGTCGTCCAAAAACATAAAAATTAGAATATACAAAACTATAATTTTGCCTATGATTCTGTATGGGTGTGAAACTTGGTCTCTGACATTAAGGGAGGAACACAGACTGAGGGTGAGGTGTAGAGGAGAATATTTGGACAAAAGAGAGATGAAGTCACAGGAAGTTGGAGAAAACTGCATAATGAGGAGCTTCATAACTTATACTGTTCTCCAAGTATAATTAGATTGATCAAGTCAAGGAGGATGAGGTTGGTAGGTCATGTAGCACGAATGGGGGAGACGAATGCGTATAGGATATTGGTGGGAAAGCCAGAAGGAAAGAGACCACAGGGAAGACCAAGGCGCAGGTGTGTGGACAATATTAGAATGTATCTTAGAGAGACAGGATGGGATGGTATGGATTGGATAGATCTGGCTCAGGATATGGACCAGTGGAGGGCTCTTGTGAAACCGGTAATGAACCTTCGGGTTCCATAAAATGCTGGGAAATTCTTGAGTAGCTGCAGAATTGGCGGCTCCTTCAGAAGGGCTCAGCTCCATGAGTGAGTGAGTAAGTAAGTAAGTAAGTAAGTAAGTAAGGAACCGACTGTGTAACGCGTGTATCAAGAGAACATAACATGCATTGCGTGACATGTTTCAATTTCTGTAAAAGTATTTTTTATTACTAATGGGGTGGGACTAAGTCCCTCGTACTGCGGCCACTTCTGGCCTACTGTACCAGCCCCAGATGATAGGTGAGAGTGATTGTGGAGCAATTGGTGGAATGAAGCGTTGGCAGGGGAAACCGAAGTACTCGGAGAAAACCTGCTCCAGCACCACTTTGTTCACCACAAATCCCACTTGACCAGACACGCGACTAACCGCTTGAGCTATGACGCGGCCTCTGTAAAAGTAAGAAGTAAAGGTATCCCTGTAACAGGCCGTGGAGGCCCATAGCGTTGTGAGACGTCGAGGCTCCCACATTTTCTAGACAATCGGCTCATAGATTGCGGTGAGGTTGCGAGCCTTACGCGCCGGCCGCCCTTTACTCTCCAGGAAGGTTCCTGGCACGCATTTCTGTTAGAGGCTGAGTCGACCCCAGGGCCATAATGCGACTAGAAGGATTAGGTCGACTGAAAAAATCCTCCTTACCGGGATTCGATCCCGCGATCTTCCGGCTTGTAGCATAGTCCCTCGACCAACTACGCTACCGCGTGCCCCCTCCAATTTCTGTACACTTTCAAAATATTAAAGATAGCAATAAAAGACAGAACACTGTTGCAGTGATTCTGAAGTCCACGCCTCTGGGGGG